GACCAATGCTTACACGATACAATCTCACCGGCAAACCAAGAATGGATCGATGAATTTAATAGATTAACTTTTAATTTTCAAGATGATCCTTCTGCTTCATCTTGATAATTTCTTTGTAAATATTTATTTACTTTGTAATTTCTAATTTGTATAGTGTTTATTGTAATTTGTAATCTTGTATAGACTTTGTAAGTTCATCAAATTTGTAATTCGTCCCACAATGATTGCACTCTTTTTTCCTTACCAAGTTTTTATCCCAATTGGGTTTTTCTTGGTAAGGTTTTTAATGAGGCAATCATGAATTACAAATTTAAAAATCAATGAAGAAATAATTTTTTTTATATAGTTCGTTCGTGTCGTGTGTTCATTTCATATTTCAAATTGTAATATACACAATTACACATTGTAATTATACAAATACTTATTTCAACAACATAAAAATATAATATAAAAAAAAAAAAATTTTCGGGCAGCCGGTCGGGCATCGGGCAGCCCGACCGGGCACGGGTAGGCTACCTCTTCCCGAGGCCCGTCCATGGGAATTTTTGAGTCGGGTCGGGCAGCCTGAATTTTTTGGTAGATCGGGTTCGGTCATCGGGCAAAAATTTAGACTTTTCGGTGGTCACGGGCGGCCCGTCCAAAGTTTCAGCACTGCCTACCATAAAATTATCATAGAAGGTATGATATTGACGGTAAACAATAGTTGGTATGAAAAAAACTCCTTTCCGTTTCCACGAGTTTCATGTCCGTACTGAAATGTTTCACGTGACAAAAAATGTTTTCTATATTTATTTATATTCCGAATCATAATTCATAATTTTTTATAATATTTTTTCTCATAAAAAAATATACATAAAATAAAAATAATTCTGAATCATAATTCTCAATACATTAAATAAACCTACTTTAAATAAGTGTACCCCGGTTGCGATGCCCACAACACTACCTCCACTAAGATTGCATGAAGTTTGGCTATAAATAGAAGAGTGAGCTTAATTACATATTGCACAAATCTCCTTCTTTTTCTTTCTTTCTTTTTAGGCAATTTTTCTCTTCTTCTAAGTTCTCTCTCTCTCTCTCTCCATTTCTCTCTCTACTTCCGAAAACCCACATACAAAATTGGTCAAAAATGCAAAGTCTAGCGCAAAACTTAACCGATAGTGTGGTAAAGGTTGTTTCCACAACCAAGCAACACATTGAAGGCGGCGAGCTCAACCTGTTTACCTTGTCTGACCCGAAAGTCTTGGAGCTTATCTACGCCACTCATGTCCACGCTGACGAGTCTTTTGATGAAGACTCTCTTTTTGTCATCGTCGAAAACATCCTTAAGCGCGCCACTCAAATTGTTGACAAAGTTGTTCAGGTATATATAATAATTAAACCCTAACTTTGTCAAAAAGGAAAAAGCAAAAAAAAAAAAAGAAAACACAAAAAAAACTTAATTTTTTCTTATGTCTCAAACCTACAAAAAAAATTTATCTTTATCATAGTAACAAAATAATTAATATATAAAGAACTTGGCTTATATATATACATATTTGTGTGTGTGATGACTGATTAATTATATATTTACAGGGTAGCCAAGTCCATGTGGAGAACATAGAGGAAAGGACCCCCAAAGCTAATTTTAGTGTGCCCTTATGCACTCTTAAGCAGATTAGTAGCGAGGTTAGACTTAATATTTATTTAAGTACTACAACATATATATATATATATATAAGTGTATAATTTATTTCTTAGTATTATTTTGTAACATGGAATTTTTCAGCTGTCTTGCAAGGCTCGAGGAGAAGAAATTGCACACAAAACGACACTGTCAATCCTCAACAAGCTATCAACCTACTCATGGGAAGCGAAGGCAGTGCTGACGCTGGCGGCCTTCGCGATGGAATTCGGCGATTTCTGGCTCCTCGCTCACCACCAGCAGACGGACCAGCTGGCCAAGTCGTTGGCAACTCTCAAGAGAGTGTCCGTCCTTGTCAAGCCCGCCGAGATCCAGAGACGCCGCCAGGCAATTCTCGAGCTCAACAACCTCATCAAGACCACCATGCAAGTCATCGCCATCTTCGACGAGTTCGAGAAGCTTTCGCTCAATTACGACCTTAAAGACGTGCCCGGGATCACCATAGCACTCGATCGCCTCCCGGTGGACGTCTACTGGTCCATTCTGAGCGTCGTGGCTTGCTCTACTAAAATATGTGCCCTCACAAATGATGAGTAAGTTCCGTCTATTTTCAATCATTCACCAATGTAGCGAAAACTCTTGTTATTAATACGAAAAATATGTAATGATTTTTTTTTATGTGTGTATATATTTCAGGGAGACGGCATATGATCTAGCACCGTATGCTCAAAAAGTGCACTACATTCTCAACAAGCTCAAAATCCAGCTGATGTTTTGCAAGAAGCAGATAGGTTTGGACCGTTTGGCTGCTTATAATATTTATTATAAGCGTGTTGTGTGATAAAATATTAGTCAGTGTAATCATAATATAATGTTGAGTACTATAAAGATTGTTGCTTAATTAGTCATAAGTTATGGAAGATTTTAAATTTTTATTTTCATTTCAGAGGAGGCCGAGAGTTATAGGAGGCTTAGGAAAATCTTCCAAACTCCTACGGAGATCATGGAGGTTTTTAAGGCCCTCATCTTTTCTAAGGACAATGTTCAGCCTCTTATTGATGGTTCTACTAACAAAACGGTTTGCTCTGCTCTCTTTACTAATGATCTAATTAATAGAAAATTAATTTTCCCATCTCATATATAAAGTGAAAATAAAATTTAAAAAAAAAAAAGTGGGACCCACTTACTCCATTATGGTTTTGGACACAATTTCAAATCTAGAATAACTCAGCAAAAGCTGGGTACTCCTAAATTTGTTCAGAAATAACAAAAAATTAATGATTATTATATAGTTTACTATGCTAGGCAATATATTATATTAAATAATATTTAAACAGGTTAACATCGAGGTGATAAGGAAAAGGTACGTTTTACTATACATCACGGGGCTAGACATCTCCGACGAGGACATTTCGGTCATTAAGCCAGTCTACGACGCCACAAAGAAAGACGATCAGTACAAGATCGTGTGGGTCCCCATAGTGGAGCGGTGGACCGACGAGCAGAGGAAGAATTTCGAGATTCTTCGAGCGAAGATGCCGTGGTATGTGGTTCAATACTTTTCGCCAATTGCTGCAGGGTTCAAGTTTGTGAAGGAGGAGTGGCAGTATAAGGGCAAGCCCACCTTAGTTGTGATGAGTCCGCAAGGGAGGGTTGAAAATGTCAACGCTCTTCATCTTATCAGAGTTTGGGGAATGAAGGCGTTCCCTTTCAACAAGGCTGCTGAGGAGAGGATTTCCAAGGAGTTGAATTGGATTGGCCCTGTAGTCAACAACATTCACCCCTCTATTCAAACTTGGGTGAGTAATAAATTCTATAATTAGTCTAGTTTATTTACTTTAGGGTATATTTGGTATATGAATTTTTTACGGATTTAAACTTATAATTTTAATTATATTATACTACTTTTTTTTTTAAGAAAAATTTAAATTTTAAAAATCATAATCAAAGCACTTATTCAAACTGTAATTTAAGCTCATATATCAAACGGGCTCTTACATTTTTTTTTCTTCTTTCTTTTCTCTAAATGTACCATATTTTTCAAATTGGAAAATGCAATGAAATATATTTGAAATGTCACAATACTTGTGTGAAAGTGCTATAACCTATGTAATTTTGACACGTTTATGTGTGGTTCAACCACCTTGGGAAAAATAAAGTAGCTAGCTTTAAATTAGCTAAAAAAAAAGTTTTTGTGCTTGGTTTCAAAACGTACTCCTTTGAAAATGCCACATTTGTATAAGTCTTTTTTTTTTTCTTTTTCTTAAACGACCTTTATTTTTCAAATTGATAAATGCTATATATGAAGCCTATTCCTAGAAAGCCTACTCCTTTTCAGAAAAGATAATGACAACTAGAGTAGCTCCAAATTAGGCTACAGAAAAAAGGTTAAAAAAAAGAAGAAAGTCTAGTACATTCCCTCCTTTCTTTGGACCAAGGACAATTTATTTTGTTCTTTTAACCCTCTTTATTTTTATTTTTTTGTTTGTTTGTTACCTTTTCCCAATAGTAGTGATTTGTTATTTGATTATTATCATTGGTTAAAATTGGATTAATAGATCAAAGAAGAGAAGTACATTCTATTCTACGGAGGCAAAGACAACGAGTGGATCCAACAATTCTCAAAGAAAGCAACGGCCCTCGCAAACGACCCCATAATCAAAGACACTCTGAAGATCAAAATCGAGTTGTTTTGCGTCGGAAAGACGGCCAAAGGCGGGGAAGACCTAGGCATACTTGGGCGGTTCTGGACCTCCATAGAGAGCTTGTTCTTCACCAAAGTGCACCAACAAAAAGCTGACCCCGTCACCCAAGAAATCCAGAAACTTCTTTCCTACAAGAACGAGAGCGGTTGGGCCGTGCTGAGCAAGGGCCAAAGCGTGATTGTGGCTGGCCACGGCTTCACAATCCTTAGGGTTGTCGAAGAGTTCGACAAATGGAAGGAGTTTGTGAAGGACAAGGGATTTGAGGTTGTTTTCATGGAGCACCATAGCAAGGTCATTCAGTCCGTTCGCCATTGCTGCCGCCTCGACATCCCGAGCGTCACCGGGAAGGTACCGGAGACCATGCAATGCCCCGAGTGCCCTCGCACCATGGAGACTTTCATCGCCTACAAGTGTTGCCACATTGACGCCCCCGCAAATGGACATCACTAAATGAGTAGTGTCGTTTTAGTCATGTGTCATGTGTTTTTGTTTTTTTTTTTTTTTTTTTTTTTTTTTTTTTTTTTTTTTTTTTTTTTTTTGTGTGGCTCTCTCTCTTTGTAATGGCCTAATTATGTGTTTGTGTTAAGGGTATCCCATGTGTTTTTTACTACTCGCCGGTGAAATAATTAGGGCATTCAAGTTGCTTTTGAGAGTCCATGACTTTCGTAATTTGATGCCCCAAATTATGTTGTACGAGAATGTGAGTTGTTTTGAGCAATTCCATATAACAACAGAACCCTTAATGTTATGGCTTTCTTTAGCATATCCTTAATCCCTATCATACTTATATCCAACTGCATAAACAGCATTCATAAATATATATATATATATAAGCATAAACAGTAAAAATTATCCTTTACTCTCTTAGTTTAGAATAATTAACTCCATTACTTTTAATGATACTATAGAAGTTTGAGAGGCAAAACAAAATATATTCATATTGTTTTTGGCTCCGGAAAACTAACCCTTTTCTTTTCTTTTCTTTTCTCTTTTTTTTTAATTTTTTTATTTTTTATCACCGAAGAAGTTATCCGCTTAATCTGCCTTCAACATGATTTCATACGTTTTTCATTTTTTTTTTGTTTTTTTCTGCAGTAGTATTCAAAGGACGCCACGTAACGTCAGTCACATGCACGTTTCTTTCATGCTTTAACAGTTTGACCCTTGCGGTACCCGTGAATTCTTTTATGGTGGTCCCATTTCAAAGGGATATATCTTGTATGTATGTATGTATGTGTGTATGTGTGTGTATATGTATATATATATATATATAATATGCAGTGTTACAAATCGTATCGCTGGTAAATTATATGGACAATTTTTAGGCTAGAGAAAACGAGTTATAAGTAATTTTTTATTTCAAATTGTTAAATATGTATAAAAATTACTTAGTATATATTTTTTTTAATTTAATGTGATTTTTATTAAATTTAACGGTTAAAAAATAATTTTTATATTTTAATACAATCAAATATCTAATTAAGTTAGTAGTCTTACGTGTCGGTTGATATTGAAATTAGGGTTCGTTTAGTTCGCTGATTTAAATTTTTAATTTGAGTTGAAATATAATTTTATATGAGAATTTTTTACTGTAAAAAAAAATTAGATGTAATTACTTTTAAAAACTTTTTACTGTAACAAAATTTAAATCAGTGAAATGAATAGAGTCTTAATAATTTGCACCTTTCTTGAACCAAGGAACATCATCATTTTTTATTTATTTTAAAATAAAATTGGATGGTGAGAATAAGTAAAATTAATAATCTTTCAACTAATTAACATTCAACTGGAATCTCAATTATGTTTGGTCAACATTTTATAACTATTTTGTTCTTAAATGACGAGAATAGATAATTAATATCTAAGTAAGGTTAGGCATCCCAATTAAATTAATACACAAAATCTAAACTCATCCCTGTCGATGTTTTATCACTAACATTTACCATAAGATGTAAATTATCATTATTAAACTTCAGTTTCTTTTTTTTTAAAGCAAATGTTTCGTTTAAACGCCTTGTTACTATAAATTAAGTTATATCAGAGTGTTTGTACTTCTCTAATATGTCCCACGTTAGAAATGGAAAAATGATAAACATCCCAACTATTGAGTCACTCTACCTAATCTTGTTCCTCACTATTGATTGATTAGTTGTGACGAACATTATATTAAAGTGATGTTTAATTTATGAATTTATAATCATATTTTATGATTTTAATTTTTAAAATTTAAATTTTTTTTTAAAATATTGTAACGAATTATAATTTTAAATTAAATTAAAAGAGCATTTAACTTAAAATTTAATTTAAGCTTTGTACTACTAAGCTAACACAATATGAGTTTGTTGCCGTTGAAGAGACATAATCATTAGCAGTGACATGTCTTGTCATCGCCAGCAAATGTAATCGCATTGAGCAGCAATTTACTTCGTTCATTTAAATTTATAATTTAAATTGAGGTATAATTTTATATAAAAAAATTTTATTATAATAAAAAAATTAAATATAATTATTTTTAAAAAAATTTTATTATGATAAAATTAAAATTTTAAACTCAAATTAATAAAGTGAACGTACTCACATTTTTTACCGCAATTTGCAAGGGATAAAGATGCATTTCGATAAAATATATATATAAACAAATAATTGGTTCATTTTAATGCTTGGTTTGCAGCTGGAATACGGTTCTGTTAGGTTTCATCTTTTTTCACAAAGCTTTCTTTTAAAAAGGGCGAAAAAATATCTTCTTCCAACTATTTCATGATAGGAATATGAACGAGCGAATATCTCGTAGACCCAAAACCTTGCCCCACCAAGACCATTAAATAAGAAAGAAAATCCGTATTTCTTATTTTATTATTTACTTGACATGATGCTTATGAAACGGAAAATTAAAACAACATAAAGCTTAGACTAATAATAAATAATAGTATGTAAGGTCTCGAATAATTTACGAATTTAAATTTTTAATTTGAGTTTAAATATAATTTAATGTGAAAATTTTTTAATATATCAAAAAAATTAAATATGATTTTTTATAAAATTTTTTAATTATAATAAAATTAAAATTAAAAACTTAAATTAATTAAAAAAAAATAGTAAAAAATAAGCCAGTATGATAAGTTTAAAGAAATATATAAGTCAATTTTTAATTATAGAAATTAATATGTTATAATTTGTCAAGTTATAATTTATAATCAGATAAGTTATGGATAAACTTGTCAAGTTATAGTTCATACTCACACAAGTTATGGATAAAAATCGTGATTTATAGATAATAACTTATCAAATTATGGTTTATAACCAGACAAATTAAGAACGAAAAGACTAATTTAACATATTTATTAATTTTTTTATATATAATTATAAGAGTGTTTGTACTTCTCTAATATGTCCCACGTTAGAAATGGAAAAATGATAAACATCCCAACTATTGAAGTCACTCTACCTAATCTTGTTCCTCACTATTGACTGATTAGTTGTGACGAACATTATATTAAAGTGATGTTTAATTTATAAATTCATAACCATATTTTATTATTTTAATTTTTAAAATTAAAATTTTATTTTAAAAAAATATTGTAACGAATTATAATTTTAAATTAAATTAAAAGTGCATTTAACTTAAAATTTAATTTAAGCGTTGTACTACTAAGCTAACACAATATGAGTTTGTTGTCGTTGAAGAGACACAAAGACTGTTTTTTTATAGTGTAATTTGAGTATAATTTTTGAGTTAAATTTAAATTATAACTTGAGTTGAAATTAAAATTTAAATAAAATTGAGTAAAATTAAATAAAATTAAAATTTAAAAAAATATAAACTTAAATAAAATTAAAACTTAAATTATTTTTTTTTAATTTTATAGACAAAAGAACATGTTCATAATCATTAGTATTGACATGTCTTGTCATCGGTAATTATCTTTCGCTACAAAATTTTAACAACGTGACAAAAATGACAAAATCGCCAGCAAATGTAAGCGCATTGAGCAGCAATTTTATGGCCTGTTCATTTTATTAATTTAAATTTATAATTTAAATTGATATATAATTTTATGTAAAAAAATTTTATTGTAATAAAAAAATTAAATATAATTATTTTTTATAATTTTTTACTGTAACAAAACTTAAATCTACGTTTTTTACCGCAATTTGTAAGGGATAAAGATGCATTTCGATAAAAAAAAAAATTATATATATATATGTATATATAAACAAATAATTGGTTCATTTTAATGCTTGGTTTACAGCTGGAATACGGTTGTGTTAGGTATTTCACAAAGCTTTCTTTTAAAAAGGGCGAAAAAATATCTTCTTCCAACTATTTCATGATAGGTATATGAACGAGCGAATATCTTGTAGACCTAAACCCTTGCCCCACCAATACCATTAAATAAGAAAGAAAATCCGTGGGCCTTTGGTTTTTTTTTCCGTTTTTTTTGTTTTTCGAGGTTAGAAAATGAAAATGGGTAAACAAAATGCATTTGGTGTAAAATTTTTTAAAAATTAAAAACGAAAATGTTTTTCTCTAAACGCATTTTGAGTTTAGAATTCGAGTTTTGTTACAGTAAAAAGCTCTCAGAAATAGTCACATTTAACTTTTTTACTACAATAAAAAGCTCTCACATAAAATCACATCTTAATTCAAATTAAAAACTTAAATCAACGAACCAAACGGGTCCTAAGATCGTTTTCTCCATTTTCGTTTTTGTTTCCTTCTTCTCCCATTTGCATCTTTCGAAACATTTCTCTCCTCACACACACACACACACTCTCTCTCTCTCTCTCTCATGAGCCTCCGCCAGCGACCATCCCCACCGTTGCGTCTGGGCCCGGCGGCGGCGGCAGGTGACCCGGAGTCAGAGCCGTACAACATAATCCCGGTGCACAACCTGCTCGCGGACCACCCATCGTTGCGGTACCCAGAGGTTCGAGCCGCGGCGGCGGCGCTGCAAGTCGTCAGGAACCTTCGTCGGCTGCCGTTCGCGCAATGGCTCCCAAAACGATAGTGTTCAGAACCAGAGGGAGCACCTCGTCCTCCACCTCGCCAACGCCCAGATGCCATCAATTTCTCAGGTTCGTCTTCCGATTTCCACCGCTTTTGTTTCAGAAACTACTTTCACTATTGCTTCAATTTTTTTCTTTTCTTTTTCATCCGAAAAATAGTTTCAACAAAAATCGAATTTGGCTTTGTGTTCCATGAGTTTTCCGAGCTTCGTCTATGGTATTTGTGTGTTTCTCTTTTGTTTTTTTAATGGAAAAAAGGGGGAAAAACATTGATAAAGGAAATTACTGGTATTATTTTCCTTTTTTTCCTAAAAATATTTTCCCTATGATGCCTGGAGTGTGAAATTTCCCTTTTTTGTGGATTATTTGATGGACGATTTGGAATTCAAAAGGGTAGTTTTTTCTGTTCAATTTTATACAATTCTCACCGAGCAAAACAGCTGCATAAAGGGTCGTAGTCACAGTAGGAGTAAATGTTGGCCCAAGGTTGAATATTCTCATGTTTTGATGATCACAAACACAATGTATTATGTCTCTAATGATTCTATTTTGAGTTGTGTATTTAGCGTAATTATTGTTATAAATCAACTCAAGAAGCATTTTGCGGAATACAATGCAAATACATTCAAGATTGACAAATGCAAATTGAAGAAGGAATTCAAGGCTTGAAGTGCTAAAATACCAAAGATCAAGAGCAAGCAAACAAAATCAAGCTGGACAAGTACTAATAGGTTTTTTAATATCTCAT